CTCTTAAAAATACAGACTGGTTGGTTTATTTCAGCTATCCAAACACAGCAGAGGAATCTGACAGGCAACAGTCAAAGGAACAAGCTGGGGAGAGTACTGCAATGAAACGGCTGTGGAGAAAGTCTGTAGATGTGGATGCTTTTTTCATCACAGAACATCACATTACCATCCTTTCATGTGGGTAACTGGGGATCTGGTTAATAAAAGCACCAAAGTCTAATTATGCAGTGAAAGCAGCAAAACCCCATTAGTGGGGATGCATTTATTTCAGTACTAACATGTCCGACCTTCAGTATAGTTTTTACTATGCACAGGCTATTTATCAAGGCTGTAATTTGTTTATCTTTAATTCAAGTACAGCACTTGGCATAGTATTGGGCTCAGTGATACTTATGGGTCCCTTCCAACTAGAGATATTCTATGTTTCTATGATTAGGAAATCATAGAAATATATGGTTATTCCTGGTTATTCCTCTTTCTATAGAACCATTTCTGGTTATTCCTCTTTCTATAGAACCATTTGCAATGCTGTGAGCACCTTATCACAGTAAAGCTCTGTTTATACAAGACATTAGACAAAAACATAAACTTATGAAGTATAAAATATTTGTGGAGGCTAGGCTTGGAAAAGCCTTGGGAAACATCCAAATAAAAGCTGCTTAATGTTAAGGACAACATCCTATACATCCCACTGGTGCAAGCCATAAAATGCGAGAAAGCAAGGAGTTAAGGCACACAGTTCACTCACCAGTTCCTCTTCCCAGCTGTAACTACTTCCTTTCCATCACTTACATTTCTCATATCACTTTCCTCATTCTGAGCACCCAAGGCACAGTCTGGCATCTGGCTGCACATTTGTTACATCAGCACGCAGATCCTCATTTCGTTTCCCTAATTTCTGTATTAAGATTTAATACAGAATTCAGACAACTACATCCACAGACCACCCGCTCTCATGTTTTCCTAACAAGTTCAAAGAAATCAAGCACATCTGATAGCCATCACCTGCAGGCTGGCAGAGTACCTTGCTGCCATATACAAGCAGAGAATCACAACACATTGTGCGACTGTAACATTTGGAAACCATCTCAAGCACATGGTGGTCATCAGACCACATCATGAGATCACAAGTCAACCGGATCTGATCTCTAGACTGATGCTGGTAACTCAATAGGGGGTACAGATCCATGGTTTGTGGTTGGGGTTGATTAAAGGAACTGAGGTTTGGAAGGGGGAACTGATGATTGGTGTGTGGAAAAGCTGAGTGACTTGTACTCTAAATCTTGTGCTTTCTACAGTGCAAACCACCAAACTGCAGTCTAGAAAGCCTGGGTCTAGGTCAACAGTAATTTGTGGATGATGGTCATCTTTCATTCATACAGGTATGAGTAACGCATTACATTCCTTGTCATGAAGAACTGAAGAACATAGAAATGACTGGCACTGTCCCAAGCAAGATAGATTTTTTTTTTTTCATTCTTATTGTAAACCCCCAACTTCTTTGAATTTAAAGTGCCAGCTGCATAGTTTTGGTGCACATCTGAAGGACCATCTCAGTAATTCCCAGTTTAACACTTCAAAACCAAGGAATGCAGAGGAGGAAAAGGTAAGATTGAGGCTGCCCGTCCAAGTCTGCCTTGCTACATTTGCTCCCTCCTTACGGTGCACTGTAGTACAGTAATGCAGTCACAATATCTGGTCTTGTCCCAGCAAAGCCCAGATGGATGGACAAGAGGGGCCAGCTTTTTGGTACTTGTTCCATAATAGCCCTAGGCCTTCACTGCTGTACACCTTCCAGGCCTGTCATGTGGAAGGTTAGTAGTTTCATCCTGAGCTTTCCAAGGATGTTCATCACCATATTATCCATGCATATACATGCCAGGACACTCTTACAGGAGGGAAAAGACCCTCAGCTCTGTGGTTGTGCATATATGTCTGTGGAAGTATGTGCATAGGAGAGAAAGGTCACGCCAGACCTCTGGTTTTGTCAACTCTCCTTGCAATCCTGCTGGCCAGAGCCAGCATCTCTTCTGCTACATCCCTGCCTGGACCAAACTTCCTAAATTCCTTTCCCTGTAACTCTCTTACTTGATTCTTGCACATCGTGCACCCTCCACAAGAAGTGAGGCAGGACTCCTCCAGACAACCATCTCCTTCAGACACTTCCATCTTGTGCGTTGAACAAGGAAAGGATTTTACGTAGGAAAAAACAGTGACCCCATGACGAAGGCTGCAACTAGCTCATTTCTGCAAGATGGTTTGTGACTGGAGTTGGAGCAGCATGTGCCAGAGCTCCCATGCACATAGCCCAGAGGAAGGTGGAGAACACCTTTGTCGTACCCTTGCAGATTTGTACCCGCTATGAACAAAGTGTAATGCTCACTAAGCCTAGATGGCAATAAAACCCTTGGGGGGAGGTGGCACACATTGAAAGATCATTAACTCACAAAACCAGCCTGTGTAAAGTTAATCCTGGAAAGGGAAACATTAAAAAAAAGCTGCCAAACCCAAACCTCCTGGTCCTTATCTTCCAGGCTTTTCAAGTGTAAAATTGCATTGGCCTCTCTCTGGCTGTTTCAAGACTGCATGAGTCATATCCGTCCTAACTGGAATACTTAAATCGAGCTTGTTCAGCATTTGTTACGATGGAAGGAAGTTAGTAATAATAGGAAATGGAAAGCACAGGTCTTGTTTTTTCAAACCCGTGTACTTCACTGTTTTCTTAAGGGGTCCGAAGCAAACACATTTGTCATCATAGTGGTATGCTTACTTTTGCTAACCTGAATAACCTGGATAATAGCAAGAAATACACTTTATCTGTGTATCAGGCTGTATCTATGTAGCTGTATGGATTTCGCAACTTCTTTTGTCATCTGAGCCTTTCACATGTCTTTCCTTGCCTTCTGACCACTGGTGAATTGCCAGCAAGAGCCTCAGACTGCACTGCTGTTTTCCTGAATACAGCCGCAGTTGTCACAGGCTGGAGTCATAAAATTGAACCTTTCATTGGCTGAACTCAAAAGCTGAAACTACCTTCTAAGTCCTTGGGTGAAATATGGTGTAAAAACATCTCTGAAACAGTTGTATAGAACTCTTTTTTACAGTGCCATGCTTACAGTAGATCTATTTGCAGACCAATTTAAGATCTCTCCTTAAGTAGTGGAAGGATATAAATCATATTGTCTGTTTGAAAATTACAGCATAAATTTGATAAATGTTTTCTTTAAAAACCTAATTTCAGCTATCGAGTCAGCAGAGCTGCACAGTTTGAAGTCATATATAGAGGAGAAGTTCAGCATGTCAAAACTGGAAATTTATTGAATATGAGATGTTTATCATTATTATGCTCTTGATAAAAATATCAAGAGGTGGATGATAGACACAGCAGTTACCTCTCGGAAGGCTGTTACAGCCATTTTTACTCTTTGCAACACTTGAATCACTGTCTGGGTTATGTTGAGTTTTCTGCATTTTTATTTCACTTGCCTATGAATATTTTTGGAAAATTCCATTTGTCTGCACTCCTGTCTTTGAATCCCATTTCCCCTGATATTTTTTTTTTAATTGTTTTCATGAGACACTTTCTCTTCCTTGGTAGTTCTATATCAGTCTTACTCATTTGGACTGTGATGCAATTTCTATGAGTCACTATTCTCAGGCACATGAGCTGGCAGGCAAATATATTGATACAAAGCGGTTTTTTTTTTTCACCAGAACTTAAAGTAGGGGGAAAAATTGACTGCAAATAGCCACAGTCCAGATTAAATACAAATCTATGAGTTTTGGATGTTTTAAGAATTCCCTATTTGTCCAGTCTGGTAGCCGGACAACACCATGAATTCGGTGTCTGTTCACCTGTAAAAATGCTTCCTGAAGACTTCCATGCTGGTCAGTATCTACCAGTTAGAAAGACCATATTCCCTGGCTACTCTCTAATTGCTCTGTGTCACAAACCCTCAGGTTTTTCTCCGAGATGCGATCTGTTGTTATTCTGACATCTAAAGCATAATGGCTGCACTTAAATAGAAGGCTTTAAGGTGAACACAGTTATTTGTAAGTAACATTGTGCTGTCTGATCCACTTCCATCCAAAGCCAGTCTGTTAATGAAACAATTTTATGTAATTTGTACAGTTTTCAATTATCACTGAAATCACCAGACTGCCTGACATTTTCAATGCTTGATGGAAAAAACTCTGACTAAAATGACAAATTAGTTTTTAAAATCAGAATCCTCTTGTTCAAGACACATAAATACAGACAAAACTAACACATCCTGGATTCTGCAGTGACCTGTGCTCAAAGCAAAGCTCTGAAGTTTCCCATCTGGTGTTTCCCATCAGTGCAAAACTCAGACAAGGCTTTTCCAGCATTCTCAGGCTTGACATCCCAAGTGCATTTTATTCATTATGTATTTTTTTCTCTTCAACTTTCACAAGACATAGTGAAAACTGGACTAATGGAAGAGGAATAAATACAGCGGTACACTGCCTGCGAAGCATCCCAGCAGAAAGCACGTGCCTCAGATTGGGGATTTTCCTTCGTGTATCTGCAGTGGCCAGGGTAAGGTACAGGGCACCTACACAGCCCCTGCGCTGGAGGCTCAGGAGGAGAAGTGAAGACAAGGCTGTCCTCTCCTGCTGCCTCCTTATACTGCAATGTCAGGTGCTGGTAGCAACGCGGAGCCTGTTCTCATGCCTGTGCTGCAGGGAAAACTGTACGCAGTTAGCACAGAGGAAAAAAGGGCAGCTTGTATTTCTTATTGTCCCCTTTGCTGCCAGAATTACTGGGGAACATTTTGGTGCCAAAAGTCTTCTCCAGAAATTGTTCTGATTAACATAAAATGCCACTTTTATAATAGTTTAGTGCTAATAATCAAAGCTAAAGTTCTGGCAGAAATCTTAAATTCATAGTTTTCAATTACTAAGACACATTTCAGGATTAACGACACATCAAGTTCAATTCCAGCCTCATGAAGATGTAACAAATTGCCACTGTCAAGCAGAGTTAAAAATACAGGGTGATTTAATAATATTCAGAACATAAAATGGCTTTTCTATATCCACTTTTAATGAAAAAAATACTGTATGAATAGAAATGGAAGTATAACAAAGAAATTTCAGTTGATCTAGGAAAATACAGGGATAAATAGAGCAAATAAGATTAACATTTTACTTCCAGGTTATTTGTATATGATGGAACTCCTGTCCCTACTTACAGCCATTTATGCTTCAAAACAGGCCCAAAAATAAGAACAAAACATCCTCACAGTACTTTTGTGGACATATTCTCACTTGAAACTATGATGGTAGTATCCTTATGTTAATTTCTCGCATGCCCAAAAGTACAATAAAAGACTCTCAAACTACCTTTATGCTCAAGGAAAGAATTTCTGACCTCATTAGTTTCCTTTTAATTTCATTACTTGCAAATTATTACTGGCAGTACACGCATTTGATAAAAATAATTATGTGACTTCAATTTTTAATGTGTAATTTCTCAGATTTTATACAACAATGTAAAGCCGACATGGGATAATGAAGTATAGTTTTTACCAGTGAGGAGACCTGTTTTAATATAACTTCCAAACATTTCAGGCATGAGGAAAATAATTAAAAAAATCTTCACCAAACTAAAATTAACATACATGTATTCCATATATTAACATTGTCCCTGTTGTATGCCTTAGTATGGTCCAAATTTCCAACACAGAGACTATTTATATCATTTTCTAGTGTGTCCATATCTTCTTAAATTGGAAGAAATATGTTTAGAAAAGAAACTTGATCTACTAGAACATATAATGGGGATAGATTAACTTCAATTATGTTACTTGAAATAAAATATCCATTATATAATGGATGAAATATCCATTATATTAAGCAACTGGATGGCAAGCATTAAATCAAATATAGACTTCTACATACTCTGTATCTGTAGTAAAGTATTATAACATATTAAACAGACCTTTATTTTAAAATCTCTTTCCAGCACAGGACCAATCCTGTATTAACTGCCTCACATAAACTAGTTGAGAGTTATGAGGATCCCTGTCTCTTTTGGTACTGTATTCTGAGCTTTTCCAACTGCTCTACACACTGTGTCTGGGCCAGCTTCAGTGTTCGGTTCTCCTCTGTCAGTTCTGCATACTCCTTGGCCAGCTGAGCAGCATCCATGCTTTCTTTTTCCACTTGTTCCAGCCTGGCGATTAGCTCCTTTCTGAGGATTACAGAAAAAAAAAAACCCAAAGATTAAAAATGGCAGTACGCAAGTATTTGGCATCGTGTGTTAGGTTAAAGCTGGGTTATAGGTTGTTAACATGCTATTTCTTGAGTTCCTGTGAAATAAAGACCTAGAAAATTAATTTGTTAAAAGCCTACCTTTGTCTTTAAAAAAAGGCACTGCCAAAATCTCTGACAGATTTGCTGTTCAGTGACCAAACCTGCAAGATGCTAAAACAACCTCAGGTACCTCTAAGTTCAGTAAGAGCTGAGCATGCAGTTCAAGTTCCTGGAAATCTCATGCTAATATTTTGCCTGAAGAATAACAGGCAATTTTTTCTCAATACCAAACAATTTGTTTGTTTTCTGGTTTGTGTGTGTGTGTGTTTTTGTTTGTTTTTTGTTTGTTGTTGTTGGGGTTTGGGTTTTTTTGTTGTTCTGTTAGTTAGATTTGTCAGTAAATTCTCTGAAGTACGTCTGGTTTCCTACTCTCTGCTACAAGAAAAATTAGTAAATAGTAGGCACATGAATCTGAACTACATATATTGTTTCTATAACGTGTTTATGCTCAGATCTGTTTATGCTGAAGAAGAGTGATACTGCTGCAAACCTGACCCCTCCTGGTCTTTCTAAGAGCAGACGCAGGATTCAAGCTGTTACTTCTTTCTGGAGGGAGTCACACAGTGCCCTGTATTCCCAGAGCTGGGCAGGAGCTGCAGTCTCCTGTATAGTATCAACTGAAATTACCTCAGCACAAATTAAGATAAATAGGTCTTAAAACACACTGAAGGCATGAATAACTCACAGGGTATCTAATCGCTCTCCACTTAGTTACCCAGCAGGCTAGCCTGGCCTCTGCTTTCTTTCCGCTGAAAGTCAAGTAATTTATCCACCCTTGCTACAGGAAATCTCTTCTAAAAGGTTCTCAGTTCTTTTGATCATTCTATTTCAGAGATTAGTTAATCTTTAACCGTTCATAGCCCTCTGACTTTATGTCTCAGTCATGTCAAAACAATACTTATAGATCATCAGTGGGAAGATGTAATGCCTTCAAAGTGGATAGCTTTTGCCACAGTCTTTAAAGGAGCCCTCTTGTCAGGCTAGACCGGTGATTTAAGATGGGAAAAATTCCTACAGCTTAGCAATTCTATCACTACATGTCAGAGTATTCATGAAACGATAACGTTTCAGTATTTGCCCATCACTTACATTACTTACAGCTGCAAAACTACCAGTTACAGCAGCAAAACTATAAGCACGCAGGTTTTCAAAAACATTTCTATTCGGTCTTCTTTTAGAATCGGTTTAATCTTCCTCAGTTTGATGTTCCTCTGTCTTTACTATAGCTTTAAGTGATTGCACAGTTTTCCCCTAGTTTAGCTGAGTGTTTACAAAGTTCCTGCAGTTCAAGGAGTCAAGCTAGCAGAGAGCCCTGGCACACTCATTTCTCCCACATTTCCCATTAACAAAAAAAAAAAAAAAATAAAATAAAAAGAAAGAAAAATTAGCAGCCATTTTAGCAATTTTAAATCACCCCAAAACTGCAGTGTATAGAACCCCCCCTATAGCTAAATACGTTGCCTTTGTTTTATACCACTGGTGTACTGTATAGGAGCTATGCTGCAGCAAAGCCTCTTCTGTTTCCTTTCATCAGGCTCTTAAGAGAAAACATCAAGAGCATATTTTTGTTCAGCAGAATTCTATTAACATTTGGTACATTAGCTGTAAAAATGTTAAAAGCAGCATTTAATTCCTCTTCATTGGGCCATACAAGATCAACCAATTTTTCAGACTGGCTAAGATGAACTTATCTTGCTAGACAGCTCGTATTAATGGGACTATAGGCCACAAAGGACTAATTGCATGTATGCTTTAGAGAGTGAGAAATGCATCTAATGACAATAAGACTTTACAAGTATGGCATCTTTAATCACTTCAGTCTCTTAGGGCTTCCTCTAGAAGATTTCTGTCTCTTGGGAGCAAAAGAGAGCTTAGCAATATTTCTTTGGAATTACTCTACTGGCGCAATGCTGGACTGAAGGATTAAATTAAGCTCTTCCAAATTACAGACTGTTGACTCAGAAGTGTCCAAACAAATTAATTCACAATCATTCTTCATTTTCTTACACTTTACGAGGTTCTTAAGGGGAGATGCAGTAAAAATATTAAGAAGTAATCAGCATCTTAAAAGCAGGTAAACCTTTTCCACAGGGACTTTTAGTAAAGAATTAGAAGAAAGGTACTAACTACTCCATTTGGACTTGAGCCAGGAGTGGCACAGACAGACAACATGCAAACTCAGACACCTCTATTAATGATTGTCAGTCGTGATTTGATAAAATTAGGCTATATGCAGGTATGGCTTTTGTGCTGCTCTCTAGTAATACCCAAGCAGCACAGATAACGTTTTTTTCCCCTTTGGATTTAGCTTTTGTATTAAACAAAATATAAATGCATTAAAATCACAATGTACCCATTTCTGTAGTCCACAGTCTAGGACTTCCCTCATAGAAAACAGTTCCCTTGCACTGAGGTAGTAAAATTGCCCGCTTCTGAGTCAGCAGAACCTACTTATTCCCTTCCCATCAGGATCAACACCTGTTTATAGGGTAGGGTGATGTTTCAGGCAAATACTGTCAGCCTGCCACAGAGATCTAAAATTAGAGTACCAGGGAATTGCTAAATGTTATGAATGGTATGGTTTACGAAGCTCACAAAAGGATGAAGACGGTAACTAACATTTGCTTCTGTTCTAATCCAGGATTTGAACTTGGCTTCCAGAGGTTAAAGAACACCATACTAAGCTCTTGCACCATCTAGCCTTTGTTATGGATGCTTAATAAATAAATCTAGCACTGTGTAATCTATGTTTCCTGTTAATGGTTACCCTGAGTTTAAATATTAACAGCATTCATAAGGTATTTTCTAAAACGGTGCTGAGGTACTTGAAGCTTCAGGACAATCTGTAATATACAGTTTAAATGTTCTTTCTCAAGGAGGGGTTTAGGTAGGAAGAAGACAAGTGTGATTTGCATCATAAACCAATAAACCACGAGCCACACTAGAGCAGGAGAAAAATTCAGCATGGTCTTTGGGAAATCATTTCTCTTGTCCTGGCCTTAATGACAGACCATGCAGACAACAGAGTTCCCTTACAGAAATATTCACAAGGAATAAACATCAACAAAAATGACAGAAAAAGCAGATAAATCTGTCTGGAGACAAGTGTATTTTGACATCAAGAAAAACTGCTTCCACAGTGCAAAGAGGCACACTTGTCTTTCCTCCATTGTGAACAACATATTCAGGATCATGCATCTCTGGTACTACACATTTCTTCCCAGCTAACAAGTGTCTGTGTGTTTTGGTGGGCATAAGATCATTTATTCTTCCCACATTTGACATGGCTTTCAAATCAGGAGGAATCATGACACCTTGTAACGTAACTGCTGCCTAAGGAGACTGTTTTTGTGTGTTCAAAGTCTACTAATTAATTTTTAAAACAAGCAGACAGCCCGTTTTAATGTAAATTAAAACATGTCTTAGATGCCAGCACATAAAAAGTCCTTAAGTATTCATCACTGCAATAGGGCAAGCTGAGGTTTCTCTTTCTATATATAAAATTGTAATTTCCACTGCTTGGCACGATGGTGAAAAATCAGGTCTAGAATGGGAAAATAATTAAGATTAAAAAAATTGCCTTTATGGTTCATACCAGTCTTTCTCTGCAGTACCTGGAAGTCTGAAGACTACTCATCTCAATAGCGTTCCAAAAGACACTCCAGAAATAGTGTACCTGGAGAAACCATCTGGACTTGAGACCTTAGAATCAGTCCTATGGTCATGAGAGCATGCTAAAGCATATGGAAGGATGCCACAAAATTAAGTAGACATCTCCACTGCATGTCTGCTGTAATGTATGTAAAAGAAGGAAAAAAATCATATCCATGGCAAAGAAAAGGAATGATCCTAAACCAGGTGGTGATCGAATGATATTTTATGGAGAGTTATATTAGAATTGTCTGGGGGAGGAAAAAGAGAAAACCAGCCAGTGCTAAGAATATAAGATATAGCTAGCAACCATGACAACTCTAATATTTAACTACATAATCCAGGGTCATTATCTAGTAATAGCAATATAACAAGTGCTCAAAATAACCAGCCATCCCAACCCTTTCACCCAAACTTAGATACCCAAAAGCATCTGTTATGGAAATACATGTGTGTTTCTGGAACATAAATTAAATTACATTCTATGACCTAAATGTGGTGTACTCTCTGTTCCACACCCTTTTCTTTCTTTTTGATCATGTCTTCCATTCCAGAGTGATTTTGTCCATTGTGCTACATATTGCTGGCATAAATGGGAAGAGTTCGAGTGAAGGCAGCAAAGCTACAATTATTTGTATTAGCAAAAATATGTACCCAGTGTTGTTTTAAATTCTTTCAATTCTTGTTTCCTTTGTCTTCTTCCTGAGTAACTTCTTTCCCCTTATTATTTGCTTTGTCCTTTGATTTTCCTTCTTTTTTTTTGAACCTGCAACCACCCTTTCTCCTTCACATTTCGCATTTTCCTATGAAATAGTTGTCTTCTCTCCTACTCCCAGCCTAAGACATTCTCTGGCTGTCTATTTTTGCATACAAGACAAAGGGGCAAATAAGCTCTGGTTTTGGCTTGATGAAAAACAATGCTTGCCATTTCACACCACTGCCTTTCTATACTTCAGCTAATACTCATTCTTCACACTACAGTGAGAGACAAGTCAAGCTAAGCATAATTGAAAGCCTTTGAAAAGTTGCAAAAGAGTAAATGCTTTTTACTATTATAAAAAAAATGTTATTCAACTTTCTTGAAGATGCCTCCTTTAGAAATATAGCTGCATGTATTATTTCCTGCGTAAAAGGTTACACTGGACTTTGGAGGTTGAAACAAAAATGATTTTAAATGGAATGAATAGTACTCCTTTTTTCTTTTTTTTTTTTTCTTTCACTAAAAAGCTCCAGTTCCTGTATGGACATTTATGTCAGGTTGACTTAACATTATTCCTTCCCCCTAGCCAAAAATATTTGCTCAATCCATTTTCTGCTCTTCTCTTGATAATTATTGTATTGCATCACAGTGTACTATCAGTTGACACCACAGGTGCAGTCATTGCCTGGTGGGACTTGACATTTGAATTCCACAGGTGAGTTGATCTGTGGAGAGGAAGTTCAGAGCACTGGCAGGGGTACCATCCAACAGCATTTCTGGTTGCCTTTAGTAAAAATGTATGCTGAAAACCACTGCACAAAGTGTTCCCACTGCAAGGGACGAACCGCTGTCTTTGTCCATTTTATCAAAGTAATATTTAAAAGAAATAGACAATAGATAGCAGGTGTATTAGGCAGTTATGAACCTATACTTCCATACATTCAAATTCAAATGTAGAAGATAAAGACACCTGCAACAGGAGCAAATTTCAAAAGCTGCAAACTCCATCTTTTCATCAGACTTTTTAGAGAAAGCACAAAAGCATCCTTTGATTATGAGAATGGAATATTCAACACACAGGACACACATGACATCCATTCGTCTCCACTTCATTCAGTATATGATACCCCATAAACTTCCTTTCACTTTAAAACTGTAACTGTTTAGAACATTTTTAGATATAAATCAGTGATCAGTAGACCAAAACCCTCTTTTACTTTTTGCTTATTCCTTCACCTCTGCACTTATACTCCCTTTCTATCTAGTTTTATATAAAAACCAGGGCCAATGTGTTCAGATTGTGTACACCTACATACCCACATGTGCCCTAATAACTTCTTAATCCACTTTCCCATTTTAGCTAAACTTCATGTGGTGAAGAGGTCCCAGTTAGTTTCTGGAAGGTTTTATAAAAACAGATTGCCACAGAAAGAAAAGGAACCCAAAGGGGAAATGCAGTGTCGTGAGACCTTCATGATACCTCCTTCAAAATACTACACTATGGAGAATCTGCCTGGAGGGAGAAGTCATAAATAGTTTACATCTGGAGGAAAAAAGCTTCCCAATGCCCGAAGGACCACTTCTTCAGATTAAGGGATTTGGAAGGTGGTGAAAGGTGCTGCACTGGTATTAGCCTTCTTTAGGCATTTCACAGCTGCACAGCATGTGAGTATCTAGGCCATAGATACGTAATTAGATGGCACATAAAAATCACAATAATATAATTCTGTTTGCTGCCTTATTCAGCCAACCTTGTTTAACATATGTTTACTGGGGCATGAAATCCTCTATCCACAGAACAGGTTCTGCAAAAGAAGCAGTGGTGGAAGCTACCTCACATTATTCGACTGTTGATATCCATTGGTGGAATGAAGGAAAATGCTATCCTGAAGCCCCTAAATTCATCCATGATAACCACTGCTGAGAGGCTGGCTTCTGGGTTCAGAGGTTGATTAGGGTAGTTTTGAGCTCAGGTAAACAGTTTTGTGCATGTATCTGCCATTCCCAAGGAGCAAAATAGTTCTCATTCAGCAAGTAACACAGACCCCATACATAAACAACAATGCATTCACATAATATTTTTTTTCATTCTTTTAGATGCAAAAATATATATGTGAGTCTAGTTTTCAAGGGCTCCAAGCTTCATAAATATGACAACTGCTTCAGGGATGTGTCAGTAATAATAATGCATGTATGTTTAATAAACTCTAAAAACCAAATGGTCTAAGGTCACCTTTTGAGTTTATACATCAAAAGTTAAGCATTTTAATGCCAGCTAGTATTTTATAGTCCATTTGGATTTTCAGAGAAGACATACATGGTTTCCACTGAATTAATGTGGTTGCTAAAGACACACATACACAGCTGATATTAGACAATCAAATTTGACAAATAATTGTAAAACTATTCTAATTAATTATCTTCTCTACGGGTTTTTAAAAACACCAATTACTTTTGATTGGCCAAGTTCAATTAACGATGAATCAAATGCAAGCATTGGGACAATGTTTTTTTCTAACTTTTGTGCCAGTTTCTCAGCAACTGAGCATCGTGAAGGTCCTACAATGGAAGGGGATTTGTAGAGGGAAACCTCAACTTGTTCCAACACTTTAGGCAACTAACTATATTGTGCCTGTAGCTATCAACCTTGATAAAGACAAGCTTCACTTTCTTATCCTGCATAGTTTGGAGTCAAGGTCATCTTTGGCTGTCTTACATCTGTGAGTACAGGATTTCATCAGTTTCCCTCCCATCAGCTTGCTTCTGCAGCTCAATACTCCCACAGATGCAAATTTGGCTGTACCGCAAGGTCAGCTGGTGCAAAGATTGCTATGAAACAGATACACTGGTCCAAAAGCCCACCCTGTAACAGAGCTCTTTTGACCCCAGTTGCTATATTACAAATGTTTCTGTTCAAGCAGCATTTGAAATAATGATGATGTGGTCTTCATTTGCACAAGAAGTCTGAGATCTACATTGAGGTAACTCTCCCTGAGGAAGGCAAAACTGCTAAAGTCACCTTCAGTGTGAATGTGAAAATAAAAAAGAATTTGAAAGAGAAAGTTTAATTAGCAGTAACTGCCATTACTTGGAGTTTGTTGCCTGTTAAAAACTTCCACTACTCACCCTCTTTCCTCTCTCTATATTAATTTTTCAGGTTTCTTGTGCAAAGGGACTGAAAATCACAGACTGCCCTTTGCCACTTAACAGTCATGCAAAGATGACGGGGGTATAAGTATAGGTCATAGACAAGAAAATGCCTCCAGCTTCTGCACTTTGGATATGAACACCTAAAATTTTAATGTACCCAGAGACAATGCACCTATTAGTAAACAGAAAAATGTTCACTAATAGTGTCAAATACTCTAAACTTAACCATTCATTAAAATGTGTAAAGCTAAATTGAAGGAAATTTCCCTAAAACTAAAAAGAGGGCTCACACCAGCTGAACTAGATTGGTGTGACTTGTAGGCTGTCAATGGAGGTTTCAAGGGACATCTGTATAACTGGGGGCCCAGAACTATGACAGCCCTGTGTCCCTAGTGGCCTCAGTTGATTCTATGGAACAATGGCCTAACTGTTGTGCTGTACAGTGACTCTCAGTCAGAGGTGTAATGTCAGAAAATATCACATGAAACCCCCATGTTTTAAACAGGATTTTACAAAGAGAATATACAACAGTAAATACTTTCAGAAAATTACTCACTTTCTTTCTTCCAGCAGAGCAATTTCTTTCTTGACCTCATGGTACTCTTCTGCTATTTTGCAGTGCTGTTTGTACACCTGCATAGATTCTTTAGAGTCATGACAAGGAGGCAATGGCTTTAAGAACAGAAGAAGAAGAAGAAAATAGTGCTTTTGAATGAAATTTTTGGAAAAAAACATACACTTTGAAAGATCCAATAATTATCTTAATTCCTGTGAGAATACTTAGAGAAATTTCCCCTCACCCCACAACTGCAGAATACAGACAAATATTCCTAGTGACTGCCTTTCATGGAGGGGAAAAAACACTTCCCCACATAAAAACATGCACAAACCTTCAAACCTTGTAAGGATTTTCAGGGCTTCCCTTGTCAACTTTGCAAAGTATCCCAAAAGATTGTTCAAAGAATGATTTCTCCCTTAGTTTTTCAGCTACAGTGATACAAGATTGCTAAAGTTGATGCATTGATCAGACCCATGAAAAAGTATGTATGTTTTCACTGCAGAAACTGCAGCACTGAGTATAAGGGTAATTTGAGTGCAAACAAGCTCTTATTCTCCAATTCTGCAAGATGGCAAGAAAAGACCTGTAAAGCTATTGATTAAACACTCTTTTTTCATAGATGCAATGCTTATTCCAGTTTATTGCTAAATGGGACAGGACCATGATCTGGGACACTGGGGCTGATTCTGCTTCACTCAACAGGAGTTACACTGCTGACTCCAGTGGAGCCCAGATTTCATGATGGGTTCTGTTCCAGTAATGCCTCAAGCTGCAAGTAGTTTGCTCAAGAACATACTGAGTTTCTCTGCATCTTTAATTCCTGTAGAAGAAGGGGATATATTTAGTTAGCAGAAATGTCATGAGAGCTGTATCAGTTATATTTGCAAAGTGTTTTAAATTTCCATGAGAAGTGCAGGTGAGACTGAGTGCAGAAGGATGCATCAACTAAAAAACACAACCAAAAAAACCCCAAAACCAAACAGTTAAAAAAAGATACAGCAAAGGCAAAAGCTCCGCACCTCCTAACCTAAATACCAACATTATTGAAGCAAGATTTTAATTTGCTTTTTATAATGCACACTGGAGGTAATAAATACAGCAAATAAACCCACTCTGTCCTTGGACTTCTTACATGATTTTCATCCAAGATCTTAAAAATATGGTTTGATTAAATGTCAGTGCTTTTTGATCCTTAAAAAGGAACCTAATTCAGGCTTCAGGCTTGACTGTCACATTTGGCCTATAACACTTTCAGGAAGTGTAGTATTTTTAAGTTATTAGCCATGAATCAATTGACTGTAAATGAACTTCAAATAGCATGCTTGAGCCACCTGTCTGAAGCAAAAGGAAGCACTTAAAATAGTTCCTTTACTGTCCAGTTAAATAACATCCAATTGTCTTTCGCAATATAAGTAGATTATTTTTTATTTCTTCATGTCCTTCTTTGACTCTTCTCTGTAGTGTAATATTCCTTCAATGACATTGTTAGGGAAAGCACAAGTCTCCAGACTTTTCGTATTTATGATCTTGTAAACTTTTGTTTAACTAAACTGGAAATTTAAATTTTACTAAACATATTCAGAGACAAAGATTAAAACTATTTTTATCCAGGAGGCAGGGTAAATTGGCTTCAGACATACCCTAATGCACAGATGTAACTAATGCACGGACCTCGCAAGTACTTGCAGATAGCATGTGGTTCCTCACCAAAACTTTAACACAAACATTCACTTTCATGTTTCAAATGTGAAATTGCTGTGGCAGAACTGTTTCACAGCATATTGTTTCATTCTCTCTGAGCTTGGAGAATTTGGGAACCCAGGGAAAGGGCAGTCCATTACCTGATGCATCTGGTCCTTAGGAAAGGGCTTTTAATTGCATTTCAATGTGGATGAGCAATAGCACCATTCACACAGCCACCCAAATAATAAGCATAAATTTAACAAGACAGAATATAGAAGTCTCAGTGCTCTAATCCAAGAATGCAAGGGTGAGCCAAAGTAGCATCTCTGGTATCTACCACAGATCAGCAAACAACGGATGCATCACAATAAAACGGTTTTGAACAGTAACCCTGGGGAAGGTCCCCAAATGGTGATATTTCAGAAGAAAAAAAAAAAATCATCACGCTTTTGCTTCTAACTCAGTTTCCATAAATCTAGCTGTTTTAAACCAGTTTAAAAATTCAAGCAGCATTCAATTTCTATATTCCAGCTTCCCACTCAAATGATATATATAGAGAGCTAAAAATTATCGTCATGCTGAGACTTAGTATCTAATTCCCACTTAGACCAGTTGCTGACTTTCAAACCCCTTCCTATCATTATTCCCTCTTCAGTATCATTTTTTCATACATTGATATTTTATCACTCAAAATAAACTGACAACAAAAGATACAATCAGTTTACTAATATTCTGTTCATAAAATTCTCTGTATCAAGATTTTTTTTTTCAGTTTGGGGGTATTTTTACTTCAAAATGTAATTTAATTATGTTTCTGTATGACTGGGCAATTTGGTTTGCTATTTTTTAATTTTGAAATTTCTAAGAAAAGCTTTGAAGATAGTACCTACAGTTTGAGTAACTTCTGGCCAGCAGAACATGGAACAGGCTTATACGTTCATTATTTAGCAAACACCTCCACTGCAATTGCAAGAAAAAATGGAGAGATAGAAGTCTGGTCGCTTCTTTGCTGCTCACCAGAAAATTCAAGCCAACACAAAAGCATAGATAAATTATTTTACCCTTGTCTAATAGCCTACTTTTTGACATAAACAAAAGTGCAAATAATTAATGATACGTCTGTTCCCACTAAGAGAAGCATTTTCAGAAGACAGCAGGGCAAACTCCTAAAGAACAAATTCAGAAACAGAGGCAAAACTTATTTGTTGTTTTTCTTTATTTTTTGCTTGTTGGAGGGGTAACTCCAACTGGCCAGCAGACATTTAGAGAATTAGCATACTTTCACAGAAAAAAAAACAGTGACAGAATAGTAACAATTACTGGACTAACCTACATTATCTAAATGGGAATGAGAGAAACCTGCAAAACCAGCAAGTCCAGTCTCCTGTTATCAGAAGCGTATCTTTATTCACACACTTGCCCAGTTCTGTCTTAGAAAAACTGAAGTCCCCTGCCCAGTTGTAAGACTGGTCCAGAGCCTCACCAAGGATTAGAAGCATTTTTGTCATTTCCAATTTGGGTTTCCTGAAATAAGTTTGTATAGTACCAGCACTATATTTCATTCAAATGGTGCCAGCACTGTATTTCATTCAAGTTTTTTTATTGTGCCAACACTGTATTTCATTCAAATGGTGGGTCTTTGTCCTACCTGTTTTAACTCTGAGATGTACTTACAGAGAGTTCTCATACACTTCCCAAGACTTGTGTCTTGGCAAAGCTGCATTCCTCTAAGCGTCCTAGACGAAATTTCTATTCTCCTTAGCTTATCCAAACAGTCTTTCTCTGCTCCCATTCATAGAATCATAGAATTACAGAATCAACGAGGTTGACAAAGATCTTTAAGGTTATCAAGTCCAACCATGACTGACAAGTCCACCACTAAAACATGTCACTAACGGCTTCATCTACATGGTCTTTAAACACTTCCAGGGACAATGAATGATTCCACCACTTCCCTGGGCAGCCTGTGCAAATGCCTGATCACTCTTTCTGTGAAGAAATTTTTCCTAATATCCAATCTAAACCTCCCTGGCGCAGCTTGACGCTGTTTCCTATTGTCCTGTCGTTTGTTACTTGGGAGAAGAGACTGAAACCCACTTCACTACAACTTCCTTTCAGGTAGATATATAGAGCAATAAGGTCCCCCTAAGCATTCTCCAGACTATACAATCCCAGTTCCCTCAGTTGTTCCTCATCACACTTGTGCTCCAGACCCTTCACCAGATCAGTTGACCTTTTCTGGACCCTTCCCAGCAACTTCTGTTCTACCTGGACTGACTTTTTTGAATGCCTGTGGCCAGGCCATGGGAAGTGTTGCAGATGCTACCCTGATGGCATTCCTGTGGCAGAGAACCTGAATTCCCAGCAGTAAGCATTTTTCATCTATGAAGTCTGTAATTTTCTTTTTTCTAGTTCACTAGTTTATTGAGGTGACTAATTACAAAAATCCTTAATAAAGTTCAATTTGCAGTATATATATTTTTTTCACTCAGGAGCTAACGCCTTTCTCCTTAGGACAGCCCAAGCTTGTTACTTCATGAAGTATCTTGCCCATACATAAATTAATATATATAAAAGCATACCCACTACATAAGCAAAAAACACCCCTGCCAAAGAAAGTTATATTTAATGGTAACAGTTGCTACTTCTAATCCTGCTTATTTCAGGCTTCACTGTCATCCACCCTCATTTTCCTGTGCTGGCAAAATATGCACACACAGCATCTCTGATTTTGTTCACCAAGTTAGTAAAAAAGCTACAGTTTTCAGTCACACTGGTGTTCTATCCTACTATTCCCAATTTTCAACAACACCTGATTTTTCCTTGTATTTTGTTGAATAACTCACTATGACATTGACAAACATTCTACAGAATCCAGCAAGTAGACACTAAGAGATCCTGTTATAGGCTATTCATAACTGCACATATCTATGTACCTCTTTACAAGACACATGCGTGGTTTATTTAGATTTTTGTTTGGAATCCAGGTATGGAAGATGTGCGAAGATGATATGCAAAGGCAGCTCATGAGGAACTAGAAAGAGCCAGAGAAGTTCTGCCTGTTTCTTAAGAAAGGCTGAAGGAGCTGTTCTAATTAAATTTTTGTTGGGGGATACAAAATGAGAGTTTTCACCAATTTTTTTTTGCTTCACCACTCCCATGACAAAGCATGTTTTGCCTTGCCATATGAATATCAGCATTACATGTCCACAGTTGTTGTATAGTTGGTAGCATCACCCAAGTGTTTAAAAACTCTGATATGGTTTATTTTTTTAATTCACCTTCATCTGTTTGCATTTACATTTTGGTTGTACTGTGGGGAAAGAAAAAAAAATCAAACTTTCTCCTGAAAAGGTTAAGGTTTAAAGCAAAAGTTGCATCATGCAGTTTTTACAGCTGAGCATGTGGACTCATTTCAAAGACCGCCTTC